TTTATGTGACACTAAGGGTTTGGTTTTTTTTTTCTCTTATTGAATTGGAGATTTTTGCCAGACCATCTTACATTAGTCTTACAGGGGCTTCTGCTCTTAAAAATCCTTTCCAGAAATGAACAGTACACTGTTGTTATTCAGCTATCACCACATTTTAGGTTCTTTGACACAGAGAACATTTTTTTTAATAAATCACATTATTCTAAATAACTAGAAAGTATCTTATTCCGTACCTTTTTGTAGAGTTTTTTATAATCCCTACTGTTAATGATGGCACCTACAGATGTCTTGACATTTGTAAGTAAATTACGTATCATTTTTGCTTGTCTTTGTTATTTTTCTATCACTGTGATAAAACACCATGACCAAGGCAACTTACAGAAGACAGTTTATTTGGGCTTATGGTTCCAGAGGGTTAGCATCTGTGATGGCAGGACAAAGGCACGGCAGCAGGGGCAGGGAGCAGTAGCACATGCACCAGTCAGAGAGTGAGCTAGTAATGGCAAGAATCTTCAAGCTCTCAGAGCTCACCTCCAATGACATGCTTCCTCCAGCAAGGCCACCCATCCAAAGCCATCCCAGAGAGTACCACTAGCTGGAGACCAAGCATTCACATGCCCAGGATTATGGAGGACATATCATTCAGACCACCAACGCTCAGCTGCCTGAGGAAAAATGTAACCTTTTTGACTTCTGTCAAAAAGCTGATTCTGTGTGTATTTGAACTGTAAGTGAATCCTGTGATTTTTACTTTAAGGGAGCTAGACCCTGCCATTGGACCTATAAAGCAAGAATTGTTCATCCCACTTTATACTTAGCCTCAGTAAGAGGACTTTAGAAGCAAGAGCAAAAGAATAATGTATGATTGCCCAGACATGGTGGTACATGCCTTTAATCTTAGCACTCAGAAGGCAAAGGCAAGTGGATCTTTGTGAATTCTAGACCAGCCTGGTATATATGGTAAATTCCAGGCCAGGTGGGGCTACATAATGGGACCCTTGTGGTAGACTTTTCAAACAGAGATGGAGAGGCTCTTTAGGGACTGAGAGACTCTGGTGCAGTCCCGAGGAGGGGAGCGCCCTCTTTATTTCTTGGCCACTCCCCTCCCTGTCACTGTGCCCACCACAACAAAGGAGCTCAGGACTTCATCCTCTGTGGTTGCCCCTGGCTGTTTGAAATGTTTGCTCTTTGTCTACCTTTATGAGTATGCTTTAAAGATTCATTTGTAATTACATATGGGTGTCTGTGTATGTGAGTACAGCTGTCCACACAGTCTGGAGGCATCGGATCCTCTGGAACTGGACAGTGCCAGATGGTTGTTTATAGCCAACATGGGTGCTAGGAATTGAACGCAGGTCCTCTGGAAGACCAGTTCACACACTTTTAACAGATGGGCCATCTTTCTAGCCCCCAAGTCCAAATACCTTTATCCCAAGAAATAAATTAGGCCTTCCTCACAAAAGCCATGAGGGGGTCACCTTGGGACAGTTAATTTTCTAAGTTACACCCTTCCCCAGGCTTTTTATTTATGCTAAACTGGGCCCTTCAGAAGCAGATTTCCTATTTGGTGCCAACCCGGTTATTAGTAATGATAGGCTTCTCCACAGCTTGGAAAGGTTAACCCTTTGAACTGTTGAGTAATCCCATTGTAGTTTGTTAGTTGAACACCTTGTAGTTTTTGTGGCACCCTTCAGGGTTTATAATTCCATAAAGTGCAGTCTGTGGGGAGCTTTCCCTCGAGCCTCCCTGTTACAGTCCACAGCGGAGCAGCACTTACTCATTCCTGAGTGGGTGGTGTGTGCATTTCTGTTGATTTTTTCCCCTTTTTTCTTATTCGTTTTCTTCCTTTTTTCCCTCTGCTGCTGCTGCTTCTCTTCTTTGCTCCTCTATTCTTTGAAGCCTGCATTGCTAAGTATGTATTGGGTACTTAGGAAATGCTTTTATATAGTTTGTGGGCAAGAAATAAATATCCATCTTATAGTCATAATCTCCTAGTCCCAAGATGTTGTTTCTGAACAATGACTCCCAAGATGCCTTTGGAGCAGCAGTAACCCTGAGCTGTCCTTAACGGACAGCTGTTAGCCTGCCATTGACGCCACACACCAGCAAGCCAGCCGAGTTAGGTTCTTGGTGTGAGCAAGGAGGAATAGTGATACCCTCTCTCAGATGCACATCCTTGGCCACCATAAAGGTCTTCATATTCAGCCCTTGAAGTCACACAGTGACTTCCAGCAGGTTGCCCAGCTGTCCCCTGGTGGTGGCTCTTGCTTGTTCCTTTTCAGTCATCTTGTTTTCTGACCATCTCCACACTAGGAAGAGGAAGACCACCTTCCGAGGATGGCCTTCTAATTCCCTGAAAATGCGAAGAAATATTACCCCTGCAAGCGTTTAGCAACTAATATTTTTAAATTTACTTTCCAGGTATTTTCGGTTTGCCCTACACTGTTCTCAACACTTTGCCACAATGAATGTTTTTAATTCTTATAAACCCTCTGAGGCAGATGCTGTTATGAGGAAAGTTAAGGTAGCAGGCTAAACACCTTGGCGTAGACCGTGTGGGTGGTGAGTGGCAGGGCCAGGAGCCAAGCCTGTGTATTCCACCTCTAGGATTGTTGATTTTAACCACTACAATATGCCCTTATCATTGAAGGCAGTTTTGTAGTCAGAAGTTACATGTGGTTAAAAAAACTTTAAAAGACCACATTCTTCTGCAATATTAAAGGATGCCGTATGTGGCATGTTGCTTAAAAAGCACAGGCGAAGTAACCTCAGGTGCTCTGACTCCTAGGAGAGCACGTGTGAGGTGCCCTTGGAAAGCAGTGTGTCCATCCAGGCCAAGTCTCGGGTCTTTTTCTTTCCTATTCTGGAGTGCTGGGAATGAAACCTGGAGGCCTTTCGCTGGGTAAAGGGAAGTGCTCTACCGCTGAGTGCCATTGCTAGGCCAGGAGATTGAAGTCTGATGAGGCTCTCTTCACTTAGGGAAATTACTTAATTTTGCATTATTGCTATGAAAACAACACAAGCAAGAGATAAAGTACTCAGAACAGCAGTGCTTATCCAAGGACAGCCTGGGACCCTCCCAGGGAGGCTGTGAGGTTGGAGTGACCTCATGGCTACAGTATGGTGTTATCTGCCCTCTTCATTTTCCTTCTCTCCTGAGACTACATGGTGTGGTTTTTATTTCAGCAGACTGAATGCAAATGTGCACAAGAAAGCTCAGCTCTCCACTGTAAAGCCCTGCAGTCTAAAGCATGGCAGACAGTGGGGGATGGGGGATGCTATTCCCCTTTCACCATTTTGTTACATTTTGGAAAACATAGTTTCCATCATCTGTTGGTCATTTTAGTAAGTAACTGGTTTGCTTTAATTACTTTTAGATGAATTACAGGTATTTATAAAAATTCTGTTGTAATGTCTCATGTGGTTATCACCATAGATACATCCCACATCAAAGTTCTTTCATAATTTTTAAGAACATAATGGGATTTGAGACTAAATGTTTGATAGCCACTGGAATACGCTATCTCCTCGACTTTTGAAGCATGTTACTTAATCTCTCTGAGGCTCCCAGTAAAATGAAGTGATGCCACATATACCTCACTTGTGAAAGAATTAAAGGACTCCATACATAGTAGAAGCTTCTGCTGTACATGAAGCAGCAGGCGTTCATTATGGGATAGCCTTTTCAGACTGTCATGTCCTGTGTGACTCCAGACATGTACTGAAGCATTGTTCAAGAAGTTTTCCTTGTATTGGCAATGACCAGTACTGTTAAAGTATAAAACAAAGTTGTGGAGAGAAAAAGAATGAGGGTTTTATTGCTTCTGTGTTGAAGTCACTGACAACAGTGGCTCCTAGCCAGTGATAGGTATGGATTATAAAGTGAGCTAGCAATTCAGACTGGCATAAGATGTCTTTCAGACTCCCTTGCTGCTGGACCACCCAGCCCTCATCCCTTATCCAGGGTTCTGCGCAGCCCAAATGACAGTGATTAGACAAGAAGACATCACTTGCAAAGCTCCATAGATACTGGGACTAAGTGTCAGGGCTTCAGTATCTAGTCTCAGAGTTGAAACAGTCTGCCATACAGAGCATCTTATGCAGTCCATGCTTCTCTTGTGGAGAAACGGAGGCCCAGAGAAAGCATGTGCTGACAGAAGCGCACTATGTATTAAGAGTCTCATCAGGACAGACTCACACAGTTCTTTGATTTATAGTAGAAAGAATACCAGCCTTGGGATCAGAGAGACTGTCCTTAGTCTTACCCTACGATACAATTGCTTGTCCAACAGCTGCCTGCCAGTATACTTCAGCCTCTCCTCCTGAAGACATTATTGGTAGAGCAGAGATGGAGGCATCTACCTGTTAGTTGCTTGTCTGTCAGGAGTGACCCAATTTACCTAGCACAGGAGAGATCTTTTGGCCCATGGTGTCGCAGGGTTACATCCACAGTTAACTGGCCCCACATCTTTGGGCAGAAAGTCTTGGCAGCAGAGGCTGTTCCTGTCATAGTCGGTAGAGAAGAGAAAAGACAGGAAACAAAGTCATGACAGGGGAAGCTGTTCTTATCACATCAGAGTAGACAGGGAAGAGGAAACAGGGAGCAATCCAGGAATAGTAAACTCCCAGTGCCCCGCTACAGCTGACGTGTATCCTCTAGCTGGGTCCCACCTGCTGGAGCTTCCACAACACACACCAAAGCAGTACCATCCATCTAAGCACGCAGCATTCAAATCAGGTGCCTGACAGGAGCATTATGTACTCAGACTATAACACTTCCACCTTGTAAAGGGCTTTGGAAAAGACCAGGTGGGGGAGCCACCACACGAGGACACCAGTTAATGCTTCAGTCAATCCAACATTCCAGTCCTTTGCTGTAAGGTCCATGGCAGGCACTTCTCGGAAAGCAACCTTTTCCTCGACCTCAGAGGTCTTCCCTCTTCAATGCTTTATACCGTTTGTAACATTTTCTTTCTTTTTTTTTTTTTCTGTCATTTTAGGACAACCCAGAACCCTGCAGGACCTGTGCCGAATTAAAATTCGACAGTGTATAGGCCTTCAAAACCTGAAGCTGCTTGATGAACTGCCAATTGCCAAGGTCATGAAAGACTACTTAAAACACAAATTTGATGATATCTGATATACCTGGACTGTGAGCAAGATTAAGAGTTATTCCAGATACTTAAAAGGCTTCGGGCCTTGCCCAAAGTATATCCTATGCAATTTCTGATTTGCGGTCAAGTCAGAAAGCAGGTATACACTTTTAGGTTTTTTGTTTGTTTGGTTTTCATTTTAGGGGAGGGATATATATATATATATATATATATATATATATATATATATATGAACACACACACACACACCACACGCTTGAAGGTCTTAATTTGGTTTCTTGGTCCAAGTCTACGAGGTCCAAGCCTTTCTATACAATACTGCATTTAGAAAAATTGTTTTTCCTAAGTGCACAAACACAGGCAGGTATGAAGCAGAGAATTTTCCCTTTTGATGCTCTGGTTTCACTGTTGAACAAGGTACTAGAAACCGGTAGAAGGAACACTTGTTAAAGTTTGGTAGTCTCAGGCTTCCCTAGTGGACCCTGGGTGACGCTGGAAAATTCCCTGTGAAGAAACTTACGGTAATGCTGTCACCTCATTCATTTTTAATGAGTACAGATGAGCTGTTTAAAAATTCTTTTCCCTTCTAATTAATGTAGCTTTCCAATGAAGGAAAACCCAGTACCTCTGCTTCCTTTTGGTGTGCGCTTATTTTTAAATTATTTTTTTTAACAACTGTAGGACACTACCCTGAGACATTGTGTTTTAGCTCTTCTCTCTCTCTCTCTTTCTCTTTCTCTCTTGTTGAATTGTGCTTTTAAAACAAAGTTAATGGGGAAAGGAATTAACTTTTTGAAGCCAGTGTGTTCTGATTTTTAAAGCAGTGCCTCGTGTGCAGCTCTCTCTTGGTGTAGTCTCTCGATGGTCTCACTCTTCCCATTCCTCGGCTGGCTTCCTCATGCCCCTCAGAGCAGTAACCACTGCCAGTCCCACTGCAGACCAACAGTATGTCACTTAGCTTCCATTTTAAGCTTTGTGTTTTATTTCACTTTAAGGAACAAATTTCGTATGCTGGTGATACAGTGTTCTCTAGAAATAGCCCACATTCTTTCTAAACCATTTTATTTCAATGATTAAATGATTTGGGGTGGTTTCATGGTGTTTTTTGTTTTTTTGCTTTTTTCTTCTCCTTCTTGGTAATATATATACATATGTATTTTAAGGGTAAAGACTCTAATGGGCACCCTTTTGTGAACCTGGCAAATTGCTAATGTGCTAATTACATATTTCCAGTCTGTTTTGAAGGTAGGTACAGTAAAGCTCTTCGAGACAAATGTTTTGTTTTCTGAGTTGGTTTGACAAGTATGTGCGAGGTAGACCTGGATGAGGTGAAGTGTCAGTAGCAAGGGAGAAGGTCCTATAAGAACTCAGCATCAGAGATGTGCCCTTGAGCATGTGCTCATTCTGTGGTCGCCATTGTGTTAGTTTGAGGAGACCCTTTGCAAGTGCCCCGATGCCATGCTTAGTGCTGTGACAAAATTTTTAAATATTTACAAACTGTTACCAAATTTTGCTATCAGAAGTTTTCAAGGTAAGGGTTTCTCCTTTTGTTGGAATGGTCCGTTTGAGCGCAGAGAGCAAAACTCTTTCACCTCAAGGTGTAAGTGAGCAGAATCAGGTTTTGCGGGGTTCAGGCCGTCAGTGCTGTTCTTCTCAAGCCCAGAGTTTATCCTCCTGGCTGCGGAGTAGCCGTGACATCAGAGCATGTGGCTCTGCCTGTATCTAGATGGCGCATGGATTCCTCAACGGGCAGCTTGGGCAAGAAGCATGATTCAGGGATTCACTGATGTGGCCCGTAGACTCCTTCAGCAAACTAGGGAGCATGTAGCCAGAGTTCTAGCTGATCCTGGAGTAGCTGAGAGCCCAGTGGATATGGCTCGGGTGCTGCGACCTTGTCTGGAAGGCTATCTCCTTGGAGATTCCCCTGTGGAAACAGCTGAAGAGCTGTGTTCTCATTCTTTATTCAGGACCTAGGTCAAGGCTGGAGACTCATTAACAGCCTGAGGGACACAAAGTGACCAGAAATTACTTGAGTGTAACTTCTGTTAGAACCCCAAGCCCAGCGTGGTGAGTGGCGTGAGGGAACCTGGAGTCTGCACTCTGAGCTGCCATGTCAGTGTCCAGTTACACAGGACTCATGTGTGTGTTTATTTATTTAGTAAGTTAAAAATGGTATTCACTCTCCAGCCAGTCAGAGGGTTCTGAACTAAGCCACTGAAATTGAATCAGGGAATCCCAAGTAAAAAGATCATATTAAGGCAATTTTTTCTGTGTGTGCTATGTGCTGCTGTGACTTCAGAAAAAAAAAAAATTATGAGCGCTCTTTCTAGAATCAAAAATTCTATTTAATGAAGAAGTGTATAATTACATTATTTATTGTTTGAGGTTTGATTTATCTGGAAGCTTAAAGAAATGTTCTTTGTTTATTAATAGAACCCCAGTCATATACTGTATCTAATGGTAACCGAAATGCTGTACAGTTGCTAACATGATCATGATGAACATGTAGGTCTGCACTTGAATTTGATTATCAGAGAAGCATTCTGTGGCCATGAGGAAAGAAAGCACGCATTTTCAGAATCTCAGCCTATTGCCTTTCCAAAATCTTGACTAAATTTGCCACTGATTCTTTTGTGTTTCTTTTGAAATTCATTATTTAAGCCTATTACTAAAACTTTATAAAATGCATTTGGCAAACACACCAAAGAAACCAGTCATAAAAGATTATGATCATTAATGAACTGCAAACCTCATCTTTTGAAAACAAGGGTGTTTCTTTGTAAATATTTGTGTTTATAAATGTACAGCAGAATAAGAGTGTTTTTTTTAGATTATTTAATTCCCATATTTCTAAAAGATTTACTACAGAAAAACCCCTGCTCATTAGTCCAGATGACTTGTTTGGTTTCATTTAAATTCATCATCAGTCATGCTTGGAAAAACGCTTCCGCTGCAGAAGTCAGCATTCTGGCAGTGGCAAGAGTCCAGCCACTTTGGAGCACGAGGGAGTCCAGCATGACCTGTGAGACTTACACCCTTGTAAGACACCAGAAAAGCGTAGCTTAATGACCATTGTGGACCATACGAAAGAGTTTCTAACCTCCCTACTGAATCACTTGTTAGCCCAGGATGGGATTGGGAAAAGTCTGTTTGCCCACAAATTTAGCTTTCATGTAACTCCCCGTGTGTTGTATCATAATATATTCTGTTCTTTCTTTGTAATGTAAGTTTTGCTTTGGGTCAATTTGAATTAAAAAAAATCTTAAATATGGTTTAAAAAAAAAAAAGAAATGCAACTGGATTTGTGTTTTCATTCTGCTCTGCCTTCTTAACAACTCTGGGTGTTTGGTCAAATGAAATAAAGCTGTATTTTTTCATCAGCATGTTAGGTCACTGATGACGAGGTAAGAAAATGATCTCAAAACAACTCCATTTGAAGCCATTTCTTTTCCTTTTCATTTATTTACTTTTTAGTTGTTTATTACATTTACTTATTTACCTTCTCATTTTGTGGAGATCAGAAGATAACATGCAGGAGTCTGTTCTCTGCTTCTATTATGTGTGTCCTAGGGATCAAATTTAGATGGTCAGGCAAAGCCCTTAGTCTGTGGAGGCTCTCTCTCACCGCCCCACCCACTTTAAAGTACATCCTGTGAATACAAGTGGAAAAGGACTTGGTCTTGAGTGTGTTGATCCAGCACAAAGGCTTCATGAGGCAGGTTCACTATCTGCTACATCGTGACTAAGAAGATGGGCACTTAGCTACTTTTTCACCATGACCAAGGCAGCTCACACATGCTTAGCTATTCCAGAGGGAAAAAAGACCATCATGGAAGGCAAATGGCAGGATGGTGGCCCAAGCAACAAGCTGAGAGCTCACACCTTGACCCACAAGCTGGAAGCTGAGAGAGAGAACTGGGAGTGGGTCAGTTCCTGAAAGCTCCCAAAGCCTACCTTCAGTAACATACTTCCTCCAGCGAGGCCCTTCACCTCCCAGGCTTCTCCAAACAGCACCGTTCCCGGGGGACTAAGTATCGATAAGCTATGGGAGGAAATCTTTTCATTCAAACCGCTAGAGTGGGTGCAGGCCACTAAGCACATCAGCAGATGCAGGCACAGCAGGGCTTAAGGTGGTTTGTTAGCCTGCAGGGGATAGTGACACAGCCTAGAGTTTGCGCTGCTGTGCAGCATCAACGAAGCTTGGTTTGGGAAACAGCTCTGCCTACTGTGTAGGGTGACTTCCTAAAGGAAAGGAAGGCTAGATGAAGTACCGCATGTGGGACAAGTGAGATGCTGGAACTGCAGCTTTGCTGCATGCTTGTCCAGGGTTTGGTGCAAATCAAGGCCAAGAATGAGGCGATTGAAATATGGTTAACAAGGGAGTTTGAATTTGAAAAATAGCTACGTTGCCTGGAAATCTTGGGATCATTCCTTTTCTGATATGATTTAAGGAGTGTATTGTTTTCTCAGCTGAAAGAACATTACAGTGGCTTACAAGCTATCAGTAGAGCATATCATCTGCTTGATAAAAGACATACTTCCACACCCCATGTTGTTGGGTGTCCAAGATGAAAGAAAGGCTTTGTGTCTCCTCCCTTAATTTTTAAAACATAATGCAGCTCTATGTTCCTTAAGGAGACGGAATGACACTGTATGCATTTTGATGTGGCCTATGCTCCTGCCTTAGCCCCCCAAGTACAGAATTAAAGAAATGAGTTTCCATGCCTGACTTCATTGTTAGTGTTACTGTTAAAAACTAACGAGATGTTAAGCATCCTCTTCCAGATCCAGGGATTGTATGTCAGCTGATGTCGAATCCTACCATACAAATTGAAGCCACTACCTATCACCACTACCTATCGCCTGGTAAGTGTTAGGTAATCAAAGGGCAACATAGGGTGCCAACTGCATCAGATGGTTTTGTGTGTATCTCTGCTTCCGTGGTGAAGACCATTGTGTACTCCATAGATGTTTCTCTGTTGGCTGTGTTCCAGAAGAGTTCTCATTCTCTAGAGACAAGTTGTGGTCTTTACGGACCACAGCACATTTGGAAAATCTGAGGCCAGTCATGAGTGTTCTACAGGAGAATGTCTGCAGTGCTAAACCTCTGAAGTCCGATGCTGCAGCTGGCATGTTTGGTCTCCTTCAGTTTAAGTGAGTTTCTGTCAGCTAAGTGCCTACGTGTCGTTCATTCAAGTATCCCTGTGTGTTTAGTTTTCTTTCGTGGTGGTGTTTTTGTTGTTGTTCCTTTTTATATGCATCTTCAAGCAAAACAAGCTTTAAATGCTGAAGACATGCTACATTAGAAGTAGGTGATATGCTTAAACTTAGGAGCCAGAGAAAGGGCTCAGCACTTAAGAGTACTCCTTGTTGACCTGGTTTCAGTCCCCAGCACCCACATGGTAGCTCACGGTTACGAGGAACTCCAGTTCCAGGGGGATATGGTGCCCTCTTTTGACCTCCTCACACACCAGGCATTCACTTGGTGCACATACATACATACATACAGGCAAACACTCATGATTTTTCTTTTTAAGTCTTAAAGCTGTAAATTTTTTTATGTAAATCATGATCTTTACAAAACTAGCGGGCATTTCTTGGTTTTCCTTTTATTGAAAGTGGATTTTTTTTTTTTCAGACAGGGTTTCTCTGTGTAGCCGTGGCTGTTCAGGAACTAGATCTGCCTCCTTTCTATCTCTCATTAGAAAACAAACAGGCTTCTAAGGCATAGTAAAATACAATATAATAAAATGAACTATACATTGGAATTGGAAAAAAACAAACAGAAGGAAAAGAGCCCAAGGGAAGACAAAAAAAAGCAGACATTCTCTCATTCATACTCCAGAATCCCATACAAACACTAAGCTGGAAGCCTGCAGGCCTCGTGCATGCTGCCTCACTCTCTGAGTTCATGTGTGCTTTGGTTGTGTTCGTTTAGAGGGCTTTGTTTTCTTCATGTACCTGATCCTTGCTGGCTCATACACTCTTTCTGCAGGGTCCCTGGGCCCTGAGAGGAAGGATTTAGTAGAGGCACCTCATTTATGGCTCATTGCTCCAAGGTCTCTCATTCTCTTCATAATGCCTGGCTATGGGTCTCTGTGTCCCCCCACCCCTATCTGCTATAAGAGGAAGCTTCTCTGATGGTGGCTGAGCAAGGCACTGGTCTATGAGTGTAGCAGAATGTCATTAGGAGTAATTTTATTGCTTTGTGGATATTTTTGGGTTTTGATTTTTGCGTTTTGTTTTTTTTTTTTTTTTAATCAGGGAAATGCAAGTCAAAAATACTCTGAGATTTCATCTTACACCCACCAATCAATAAAACAAGTGGTAGCTCATGCTGGCAAGGATGTGAAATAAGGGAGATACTCTTCCATTGCTGATTGTAGTGCAAACTTATACAGCCATTACAGAAATCAGTGTGGTAGTTCGTCAGGAAGGTGGGAATTGGATCTCCCTCAAGATCCTGTTTTACCACTATTGGGCATATTCCCAAAGGGTGCTTCATCCTGCCACAGAGACGCTTGGTCAACCGTGTTCATTTCTGCTCTATTCATAATAGCCAGAAATTGGAAGCAACCTAGATGTCCTACAATGGAAGAATGTGTATTGTTCTAAAGAATATTTTGTGATAAAGAATATGTATATTGTTAATATACAATGATGTATTACTCAACCATTTTAAAAATGAAATCACGAAATTTACAGGCAAATGGATGGAACTAGAAAAAAGTCATCCTGAGTAAAGTAACCTGGAAAGAGAAATACTGAATTTATATGCTTGTATGTGGATGTTAGCTGTTAAGTCAATGAAAACCAAGCTGTAATCCATAGAACCACAGAGGTAAGGTATAGGGTAAGGAACTAGGGGCCACTAATAGCTCTCCCTGGGAAAGGGAAGTAGAATAGAAAGTTATGGATGGATTTGGATGCTGGAGTAGGAGCAGAAGGAAAGATGAGGACAAAGGAAGGAATACAGGGAGAGACTGCTAAAAGCGGTGTTTTAGGTGTAAACGCAATAAAGCTTCCTAAAACTGAAATCTCCAAATAATTATGGAGACAGATCCAACTGGGCCATTGCTTTGTCACCAAGTGAAGCTTCCAGTCCCAGGATTGGGTCACATCTAATTGAGTTGCTGGCTGAAGGGGTCCCATGGGACCCCTGAAGCAACCCAGACTGTTGCTAAGACTATAAGTAGCTCTTCACAAGCATTGACAGCAAGACCCCATTGCTGAAGACAACATCTACGCTACTCATTGAATATGGTGAAGTTGAGCTGGCGCCTACCTAGAGCCTTCACTGCCACAGGCTAATGTCTTTGTTATAGGAAGGTATTCTGCGTGCTACCAAAAGATTAACGCAGACACCAAGCTAGCCATAAACTCTTGGATTAGCAATGCTGACTGCCTGCAAGATATGCTAATGCAATGGTGACAAAAAAGCTTATGGGAGTATCCAACAAATAGCAGGTGTCTTAAGGCCCACTCTGAAATGGAGTCCATACCCAACTCTACTTGGGTGACCAAGAAGAGAAGACTCCATAGCCCAGGGACTAGGGTAAAACCAAATACTACTATTATTTTTAAAAGAGGAGGAGGAAGAGAGAAAAGTCATTTGTAATTATAAATAATATAAAATCTTGGCTTATGTAAGGATCTTAAAAACTTCATTGGGAATTTGTGTGTGTGTGTGTGTGTGTGTGTGTGTGTGTGTGTGTGTGTGTACAAGTGTGTATGCAGACACACTCATCCATGCAAGCCAGAGTTGCACTGGGCTGCCCTCTATCACTGCCTACCTTATTGAGACAGGTTCTCATTAAACTTTGACTTTGAAGTTTGGGCTAGACTGGCTGGCCAACAAGCCCCTGGGATCCACTTGTCTCTGCCTCTGCAGAGCTGGGTTCCACATGCAGCCATCACATCTGGGTATTTATGTGGGTTTTCTCTCACTCTCTCTTGACTTTTAAGTGAATATAAATATGGTTTAAGTCATGTTGAGAACAGTGAAGTGATTCACTTCTCAGTGAAATCAAGTCTTACAGATGAGGTGCTGTGGCTGTGTGTGGCAGCGCATCCATTTAGGTGGAGAAACTGGCTTATGTCATGAGTAAAATAAACCTCGGACTGACACAGGGGTGATCCAGCTGGAGAAGTCCTATTTTATCTGGCAAGTGAAGTTCTCTTTGTCCTGCTGCTCACTTTGACCTGATGCCGCCCTCCTTCCGCTGACAGTTGTGGGTCAGGTTGTTGCTTGGTTTTTCTTTTCTTTCCCAGAATAAAGAGAGCTTGGAGACTGTGAACTTA